AAGGATTTTTTTTATATATATAACTCACTGATATAAATAGTATTTAGGTTTAAAGTTCTAGTTTATAACTACTTTGAATAACAGGTGGTCTATGACATTTGATTGGCCCACCTGAGCTCCACTCACACTCCACCTCTTTGCTCATGTTGGCATTAGTTAGGAGTTCAGTGGAGTGAGACGCTGCCACGATTGTGAAAGCCACACTGAGCTGCAAAACTGTTTTTTAAAAAATATGCACCACAGAGGGTTTGTCCATTTGTAAGTAAAGTCTATAATCAGCAGCTAAGGATGGAGACCGTGATGAGCCACACATTCAGAGGCAGTTTAAACTGCAGTCTGTTGTATCCTTTATGGATTAAGGCCATTAAAACCAGAGCAATCCCAGAATTGTTCTGTGCAAGACGCCTCTTTAATCATCCTGGTTCGACATGTTTGTCAGTGTTTACAATAAGTGATCAATCTGCAGCCTCATAATCATCCTCATAATCAGGAATGTCTGTCTGAGCTCTGAGCATAAAACAGCCCACTCAGTGAGCTACCTGTCAGTCTGTAGAATTTCATATTTACTGTTCTTGGTCGATTTATAGTTAAGTCAGTGTGGATACAAGGTAGACCAGCAGTAAAAGCACTATGGATCATTGTTTCCTCCCTGGGCCTGATCAAAAGACAGGAGACAGGAGAACTTCTTTGTTCATTTGATGATTACAAACAAACAGATTGGTTATGTCGGTCCTGGTTATAACTCAAAGTATCCATCCATCCATCCATCCATTATCTATACACCGCTTAATCCTCACGAGGCTTGCGGGGGGCTGAAGTCTATCCCAGCCGACTCAGGGCGAAGGCAGGAGACACCCTGGACAGGTCGACCCAAAGTATTGTACTCATAAATTAAAATTATCACTTGATGATGAAAAGTTTTCTATGGTGCTGTCATGGCTAAAGCTATAAAAAAATACAGTTAAACTCCACGAAGAAGAGAAACATGCTCTTTCATTTTAGCGTGAGGCTCCTGATATGCCAGCACCAACACATTCAGTTCTATTACTTGAGTGGAATTAGTGCTTTGATAAAGTGCTGGCTTGGACAAATGGAAATAAATACTTTGTTAACAGCAGATGTTTGATGCATGCAGACAAAGAAGAGCAGATTTGTTGACTATCATTGTTTTTCTTTGACTGCGCTGCCTACTGGGAGCGTTCATACTAATTATCGCGCTCGTTTTTCATCTCTGACCCTCACTGTCAGTGTTTTATTCCAAAAAAGAAAAAACTATAACCAAAGTTTTATTTTGCAGGGCAGTAACCCCTTTTAGGTTTTCTGAAGTTTTTTTTTTCTTTTACTTTAATGCAGCTTTTGCACACCAGCAGCCCCGCAGTGCATCTATCCATCATCTTTTATGGCTGAACCCGAGCTGCAGCAGTCTGTTTTGTGTTTTTACAGAGGCGCAGCAGATTGTATTGGAGGTCATGACAGAAAGTTTGCATTAGAGGGACGGGGGGGTTCGCATATTCCCGATAAATGTAGGTGTCCATTACAGAAAGGTCTCTGAAAGCAAACCTGATCTATCATCTGCCTCATCACCATTTTTTTTTTCTTTATTCCCAGAATCCTGTAATAAGATTATTAATAACAAATGATTCTAACTTAATGTGGCGCCTGTTTAGTTTTTTTCAACAAAGTTTTCTGGCCAGAGTAAAGTTTGAAATTTCACCCCGCCAGACTTTGTTTTGCCTCGTCTCAGAGCTGATATCCTCTCACTCAGTCTTAATAAGTATCTCATCCACTGTCACTCTTTCGCT